CTATCTATCTATCTATCTATCTATCTATCTATCTATCTATCTATCTATCTATCTATCTATCTATCTATCTATCTATCTATCTATCTATCCCTCTAAAGCTCATATGCCATTCAGCTCGCCAATGGGGACTCTAGACGGCTTACAAATGTATAAAAGATTCTTTTTAATCTTTTCAAGAGTAAATATTGCTCTCAGTTGTCCTTAAGTGCCATCTCGGAGATGGGCGGTCCCTCAATTTGATAAGAAGCAAATAAGTAAATAACCATGATTATCATTGCTTGTGCAGTCAACCAAATATTTAGACCATATTTCAGCATTTTTATTTCCCTGTTATTATTATTATTATTTCTGAGACTTAATCTCTCTTCTTTTCAGATTGTTTATGTGATTCTTTGGATCAACCTTTATTCCGTCCTCCAAATTTTTTCGGTTGGACAGCCTTGGAAAGTCAGTGTTTTGGTTACCCTTGTAGCCTTGGTGGCCACTGTGGCCATTCTTGTCTTAATTCATCACTACCAAAGAAAGGTAAAACAGGACTGGATTGTATCCAGTTGCCATTTCCATTTTTTTTGTTAATTAATGTCCCCATAATCCCTTGCATCAGAGCGAAGTCGGGGCAAATGAATGCAGCTGAGGATTTACTGACTGGATACCCTTCCTGTCACCAATGTGGAGTTTGCAGCAGATATTTTCTCCTTGTGCCCAGAGAGAGAGAAATATCTGCTGCTACCTACCACATTTCCCCGAAAATAAGACAGGGTCTTATTTTCTTTTGACCCCTGAAATAAGCGCTTGGCCTTATTTTCGGAGGAGGTCTTATTATTTTTGAGGTGCAGGAGGCAGCGAGCGGGGTCACCTCATGGCTGCTGCTGTGTTGCAATATTTTGGGGGAGGGCTTATTTTAGTGCAAGAGCCCGATTGGGCTTATTATCCGGGGAGGTCTTATTCTGGGGGAAAACAGGGTAGGATTGAACTCACAGCCTCCTAATTGTGAGGTGAAAGGTTCACCTCTAAGCCACCGCACCACTCATCCATTTGCCATTTCCATGAGGGATTAATATTTCTATATATATATCTTATTATTTGACCCTGGGTGATTCCCTACTATTGGTAAGCAACAGATGGAAAGAATCAAGCTCTTTCAAATGAGGTTTAGCAGGAATCCCATGGGTGGGATACATGAGGCGATGCTTCCTTTAATCTCGGAGGATGATATCAGCACAGTTTACGACACCGCATCCCTCCTCCTGTTGTAGCAATCATGCCTGAGTCATGTTTAGGTTTTAATTTCTCCTGTATGTCTTGTGACTTCAAGTCTCTTCCCCTGCTCTCTCGAGACAGCTGGGGTTGAAATCACTGTCTCTTGGGCTGTGGGGTCGTTTGTGTTCTCTGAACTTGGTGATGTTCTTGCGAGTGTTTCATTACCAAATTAGGGAACTTCCTCAGTGTGTAGTGTATTGGAACAATGATGATATTCCCTAGTTGGATAGTGAAACATCTTCAAGAAAACCATCAACCTCAGAGAGCTTCTCCTCCTCATCCTCCTTTTCTTCTCCACAAGCCTAAATTCTTTTTTTTAACATTTTTTTTATTTTTATTAAACACACACAAAAAACAATCATTTTACATTACATCTTGTAGAAAGTGTATCAATTGGTTACAATTAGCATTCGTGCATCTCTTCCGCAGCCCTTACTTACATTCGTATCCAATGTCAAAGTTCTTGATGAGTCTTACTTTCAACCTATCATAGTTGTCATTTAACTGAAATTGTTTTAGTGTCCTTTTGCCTAGAATAATCCATAGTTAAAAAACGCAACCACCTAATGGCATTTCAT